AAACAAGAATTCATTAAATATATTAAATACAAATATTTTTGTAGAGGTTATGATAGTAATCAGTAAAATATTTTATAATACTAGCTTTTTGGAGCAAGTAGAATAGAAATATGAATGAGAAAAAATAAAATTATGACTGCTAACAAAAAAGAGCTTAAGGGCTGGCATTGTGGCACACTGGGTTAATGCCAGCATCCCATATTGGAGTTCAAGTTTAAGTCCCAGTTGCACCTTTTGAAAGCAGCATCAGATGGCCCAACTGCTTGGATCACTACCCCAAAGTGGGAGACCTGGATGGAGTTCCTGGTTCCTGGCTTCAGCCTTGACCCCACCCTAGCTATTGAAACCGTCTGAGGAGTGAACTGGTCTCTCAGTCTTTCCGAGTTTTTTTCTGCCTTTCAAATAAATAAATAAATCTTTAAAAATAAAAATAGCAAATACTATAACTACACAAATGATTTAATTCTCACAATTAGTATGAGATAGAATTATAATTTCAATTTTGGAAAAAAGTAACAATTTGTCAAGAGGGATTAATTAATGTTTCCAGGCTGTATCACTTCTAAGTGGAGAAGCTGGGGTGGTTACTTGAAGTAGAGCTTGAGATTCATTCCAGAATAAAAACAAATTGCATGTAGCTGGTTTGCAGACTTGTGAGTGCATAACCCAAGGACACACAGGCATACATTCATGCATATAAAAACATCACTGGGCCCCACTAAATGTGCCAGGGACCACTTGGGCAGCATCTCCTTCTTATTTTTTTTTCCTGAGGCGTATTTTTCCTCCCCAGGAGACAAACTATCAATCAATATCAAATCACAGCATTCAACAACTGCTGGTTCACATCAACTCAGAAGGTACTTTAAATATCTATTTTCTCTGACTCACTGTGAGGTAGCAGAGAGGTGGAGGTGAATACAAATTACCCTACCAAAGTCAGGATAAATAAAAATTAAGGCCTGTAACTTTTGATTCCTGTATGGAGTTACAGGAATAACATGAGAAGAAGACCTAAGAAAGTAGCAAATTCCTTTTTTTTTTTTTTACAGAGAATCAGTTTAGTATGCATTAAGTAAAGTACTAAACTGATTCTCTGTAAAAAAAAAAAAAAAAAAAAAAAAAGAAAAAAAGAAAAGAAAAGAAACTATCAACTCCCAACTTGACTCTCACTGGGATTAAACATGACAATAGGTCTGATCTGATTTCATCATCATTAAAAAAAATCATCTATTATTTTTCACTTTATGTTTCTGTGTGGGAGCAAACTGTTGAAATCCTTACTTAATGTATACTAAGCTGATCTTCTGTATATTAAGATAATCGAAAATGAATCTTGATGTGAATGGAAGGGGAGAGGGAGTGGGAAAGGGGAGGGTTGTGGGTGGGAGGGACGGTATGGGGGGGAAGCCATAGTAATCCATTATTCGTACTTTGGAAACTTATATTCATTAAATAAAAGTTAAAAAAAAAAAAAGAAACATACCAGGGGATTCCAATTCAATCCCATCAAGGTGGCATGTACCAATGCCATCTCACTAGTCCAACTGATCAATTTCTGTTCACAATTGATCATAATGATAGGACTAAGAACCAAAGGGATCACATAAACAAGAATAGTGTCTGCAAATACTAGCTGATAGAATCAAAAAGGGAGAGAATGATCCAACATGGGAAGTGAGATACACAGCAGACCCATAGAATGGCAGATGTCCTAAACAGCACTCTGGCCTCAGAATCAGCCCTTAAGGCATGCGGATCCGGCTGAAAAGCCCATGAGAGTATTTCAGGCATGGAAAGCCAAGACACTCTGGGGGAAAAAAAAAAAACTAAATGAAAGATCTCCACGAGTGAGATCCCAGTGGAAAGAAAGGGTCATCAAAGAAGGAGGTACTTTTCTCTGAAGGGAGGAAAGAACTTCCACTTTGACCATGGCCTTGTCTAAATATGATCAGAGTCGGTGAACTCAAAAGGCTTCCATAGCCTTGGCAGCTCATGACAAGAGCCTAGGGTGATTACTGATGCCATAAACAAGTGTGTCAATTTGTTAAGTCAACAACAGGAGTCACTGTGCACTTACTCCTCATGTAGGATCTCTGTCCTTAGTGTGCTGTACATTGAGATTTAATGCTATAACTAGTACTCAAACAGTATTTTTCACTTTATGTTTCTGTGTGGGAGCAAACTGTTGAAATCTTTACTTAATGTATGCTAAACTGATCTTCTGTATATAAAGAGAATTGAAAATGAATCTTGATGTGAATGGAAGGGGAGAGGGAGTGGGAAAGGGGAGGGTTGTGGGTGGGAGGGACGTTATCGGGGGGGAAGCCATTGTAATCCATAAGATGTACTTTGGAAATTTATATTCATTAAATAAAAGTTAAAAAAAATGAAAAAAAAAAAGAAAGTAGCAAATTCCTTTCATCTCCTGGGCCCAGGGTCATATGAAAATTGAAGGACTTTTAGAGAAACAATACGGATGACTTTTATTTTATCAAACTCATACATCTATTTTTGCCTTGTTCCAATCATTCCGATTTCATCAAATTTGGTTCACATTTCTTTTATGAATAATTCAATGGAAAAGAAGCCACTTAAGGAATAGAAACTCACCCTGTTTTTGTACTTGGGGGTTGAGAGGTAACCTATCACAGAATAAACAGTCTCCATGTGTTTGTTGGAATCTCATTCGTTAATAGCACTTCATGTAAGTAACACTCAGGCATGGAACATAATCACCCTGGGAAATACACAACTGAAGCTATGTGGAAAGTAGTATTTTATGAGGTGAATAGACAAGGACATTCAAGTCAATAGAAGGAAGACAGTAGTTTTCTTTAAATCTTGGAGCCAGTGTTTCCAATGCTCCACACCTGTGCACCATTAAGGTACTATCATTATAAACCATGCAAACCAGAGGTCCTCAGGAAAAACAATTCATTGACCATGATGTTCAGCAATGGGCAAGCATGTAGAATTTGTTGTGATTTGATTTTGCAAAGGGGCCGGTATCCTTCTCAAAGTTGGGCAGGGACAATTCCTAAGAACAAAACCATTTTCAATAGTGATCTACAGCTATGTCATCCTGCCCAGAATTCAGTGAGTATCAATACACCTCTCATGAAATAAACATTTGTCTGCTTATCTCCTTGTCTGCACATAAGCTCTCAAACAGGCTCAACTAGGCTGCAAAGGAACGCAGAACGTCTCTGTTGACCTCACCCAGCAGAAAGATGTGGGAAACTCATCCTTTACATAAAAAATTTCACTTAGGTTGGAACTGTGGTGTAGTGGGTTAAGCCCCTGCCTCTGGCACCAGCATCCCATATGGGTGACAGTTTGAGTCCCACCTGTTCCACTTTGGTCCAGCTCTTTCCTGAAGTACCGGAAAATGCAGTGGAAGATGGCTCAGGTGCTTGGGTCCCTGCACCCATGTGGGAGACCTGGAGAAAGCTCCTGGCTCCTGGCTCCTGGCTTCAGATCAACACAGCTCCGGCCACTGTGGTCATCTGCGGAGTGAACCAGCGGATGGAAGACCTTTCTCTGTCTGTTCTTCTAACTCTGTATCTCACATAAATAAATAAATCTTTAAAAAATTTCACTTATAAGAAACGAAAGCATTGGAAATACATCGAAATTATAAGAAATACACAAAATTATTTTAGAACAAAAGTTAAATTGAAATATAAGCAAAGAGGACACTGAGAAGTAATAAGGTAATTCGGAGTAGAGAATCCTCAGGTTGGGAGAGCTATTGAGATCATTTCTAAGTTTTGTTCTTTCTTTAGTCTCTACTCACAATATTACAGATTGAAAGCCCAGAGGTAGAATAAAGCTGCGATAGCCCTGTCATCCAAATGTGTTAACAGAATTATGTGCTAACCTGTGGCTTCCTTCCCCTCACTTTTACAAAGGTATTACCTTGGTAAGTTATTACCTGTTCTGCTGATGGTAGGTGCCTCACCTGGATCACTGGCATTGAACCTGATGTAGAATACTGCTAAAAGACCCCTTTCAGTTCTAGCGAGATATCACAGTCTAGAAAATGGAGACATGAACTTATGGAACACTCCTCAGAAGATGCATTCTCCCTCAACACTTTACGGGGACTTACATAGAGAACTAAGGCACAGAGCAATTTAAAAACTTTCTCAAAATAGGACAGTGCATGTGGATTCAAATCCAGGAAGTGTGGATTCAAATCTAGGAAGTGTGGCTCCAGAGCTTATACAGCCCTAAACTATAACTTCTCCTCAGTGCAGACACAGCATACTCTGCATGGATTGATATACAATACTAGGAAGAAAACATATGTCTTTGCTTGCATACATAAAAAATATCTTGAAAATATACACAGAAAACTGATGACATTGGCTGTCTCAAAGGTTGAGACTGGATGAATGAGGGCTACTGGTTCTTGAAGGAGAATTTTATGAAAGTGCTTCAAAAAATTCATGGAAAAGAGAATTGAAATATTGGCACTGGGCATTTGGTGTAGCTGTTAAGAAATTATATTGAATGTCTGGGTTTTAGTCCTGGCTCCACTTCTAATGCCAACTTCCTGCTAATCCATACCCTGGGTAGCAGCAGGTGATAGTTTAAGTACTTCCCTATGTGGGAAACTCAGATTGAGTTTCTGCATCCTGGCTTCAGTCTGGCTCATCCCCAGCTGTTATGAACATTTGGGAAGTTAATCAGTAGATGAAAAATCTGTCTGTTTCTATCCCATTTCTGTCTCTCTTTCAAGTACAACAAATATAAAAACATTTTTTGTGCAAATAATTTTGAAATCCATGGATAGTTTTCTTCACAATATTCAATTTCCAACAATTTTTTGAAAACCACTTATACATGTGAATCCTTCTGGAATTCTAAAATTTTGAAATAACTAGATAGGTACTTTTTACAAAAATAGATAAAGCTTATGATAGTAGAATTCAGCAGATTCTATCATGTAGACAAGGAATTCAACTCTACATTAAAGAGAAAAACCAAAGACATTCTTAGGGGAATTCAACATGTTTTATTTTGTCAGACAAATGATTTCAATGTCCAATTAAATTTTAGTGGGTTAACTACGTTTTGTTTGCTTTCTTACAGAGAATGAACATTCACCGTGATGACAGTTTCATCATGCTATTCACAAACCTACACTTGGGGGAAAAAAAGTGCATTTCTAGGAAATTTTATCTACAAATACAAATGGAAAAACATATCAAGTTGTGGAATCATCAAATTACATAAAATAAAACCAATCAATCACCAATATTCAATATACATTGATTATTTTGAGAAAGAAAATTTTCTTTATATTTGGCAGAGTTATGTTCAAAAACAACTTCCATAGTTTTGAAAGAAAAGTAATAAAGGTATATACAGTTTAATACCAGTCAAAATAGAGGACATTAAATAGCACAAACAATATTATAAGACAAAATACCTTATTGTCTATCAGTTTGGGTTGACATGAATCAGCAGGGGGAATCGTGACTCTAAAACAATGACTTTTAACTCTGTACACAGTATAGATTGATCAGAAGCACAGAAGATGATTTTGGCTTTACATGGACACACCTTTCTGTCTGTGCATCCTGGGGAAAAGAAGCTTAATTACACCTTGTAAGCAGACAAAACATTTTTATAATAAACTGCTTTAGAGAAAAGTTTAGAATCATACACACTTGGGACAATAGACTTCTAGTTGTTTGCTGTTATTTTGTTCATTTTAATTGCTGTTTTTTCCACCTCAGAATATCATGATTTATCATCATTTAAATTATAAATTATATTCTTAAATTCTGAACAGTAAGCACAGTGACTTTCAAAATCATTTTAGCTCTTGAAGTCTTTCATTGAATTTTTCAAAAAGGTAGTGTATCTACCTTGATGATCTTTTGCATGATTGTTCCTTTCACATAAAATTTTAATACTAGATTATACATAGGAATTTTTTGGAATTTCTGTTTTCAACTGGAAATATGAAAATGTCTTAAAAACAAAACAAAAGCCCAAAATTTGTGTTTTTGAAGGAAATATAAGAACATGAGGAAATTTCTCACATTTTCCCTATCTAATTTTTAACTTGGAGAAAATGACTTCAGTATTAAAATACTCTAATAAAATTATCCAAACATACTAATTAGAAGATAATTATTTTATTCATCATGAAACTTTCCACACTGACCAGTGAACATATGTGGCAATATTCATTTTAAAAGAATGTTTGAAAAGAAAAAACAATATAAACATAAGAATATTTTAATATATTTTTCTTATATTATTGTTTCCTTTCAGATGAAACGAGCAACTCCCCACCACAAGCAAATGCTTATAAAAAATAAAATGCTGCCTTAAAAATTAGTATGATGTGTGAGCTTGGTTTTCTAAAAAGTGAAAATGAATCACTGAACTTGACTACAAATTTGAAAACGAGCCACATTTGTTAGAAATTCCTCATAATAAACTTGAATTTTCTACTTTGATTTTGTTTCTTTTCTCCTTTTTGAAGGTCTCCTCCCTTATAGAGGAGCTTAGTACTTCAAAACTCTTTTTCTTCTTACATTGACCAATTTGCCACACAGACTAGAAAATCAGACACAATATAGTAAGCAATTAAATAGTGTATGATTTTATATAAGTCTAGAATAACTTAAATAACTTCCCCCCAAAAGTGCTTTTGTTTAGAAGATGACAATCTAACAAGATAAGTCCAACTGCTTCACTGATATAAATAACTCCTACCAGTGATCTTTATAGTGTATGTTACCCATTCTATTTTCTTGAAACATGGGAACAAAGATCAATGACAGATATCAGTAACTGACAACTTTTAAATCTTAAAGCAACAACACATATATCACTGGGATCATAGCAAGCCATCATTTTTCTCTATGAATCATTCATGTTTCTGTACAACACTCAAATGCCCTGTGCCCTGTCATTTATATTTTCTATCAGCCATGCTGTTGCACCCATTTTTATATGACTTTTACTATGTGAAAACTGTGAATCTGGAATTTGTTCTCATCTATAAAATTACTGAACATTGGAACTCTGGACTTCCAGAGCAGGGAAGAAATACCCCAGGGTGATGCCTCTCCTTCAACCGAGGGATGCAATCATTCTACGTTTGTAACCGCCATAAGGATTTTGAAGGGTGAATAAGGATATAAATAAAATCTGGGTTGAGTTAAATACTTATATGCACCATGAAGACCATGACAAGTCTAGTGCTAGTCAATATCATACAAGAAAACGCATGCTCATTTCAGTTCATGTAAAACTCACTTGAGGAGTGAATCATTACCTAAGTTCAGTGATTTCTCATGGGTAAAGCACAAGATTCTTTGTTCAAAATGTGATCGTTGAAGACAGAGCATTTGTTATTGGATGCTTAACCTCCCCGTAAGAAACGATTAGGACTCTGGCAACTGATTCCTCCTGTTCCTACTTTTCCGGCTGTTGATCAGGGCCTTTAACTTGCCGTAGTCCCCTCTCATCCTCTGTGACTCCTCGCCCTGGTAGTGTTGCTGCCGAGTGTCTTTGCAGTACTGATTTATCATCTGCATTTCCGAGTGGCTGAAAGCCCCCATGATGTCCTTGGGGTGGAAGGGCAGGGCCCTCACAGAGCTGGCCCAGGTCCATGGGGACCATTTGTCCGTCACAACAGCCACCATTTCTGAATCTAAAACTTTGAAGTTGATCTTGGCTATGGTCTGCTTGAAGCTGTTTTCTGTTGCAATGCAGTGATACAGTCCTTGGTCAGAATCTTGAACAGAGCGGATCAGGAGTCCTTGGGAGGTGGCTATGATGCGTTCATTCAGCTTAACCTAAGAGAGAAACACAGTAAAGTCTCCAAACTATATTTTCTAAAATGATATAACACATACAGAATATTGCTGGTATTCACAAACTCAGCAAGATCATTGAGCACAAATTAGTTTCCTTCTCAGTGGATAGAGATGTTTGGCCACTTCCATTGATTCCTTCTAATTAATTAATTAGAAAAGCAGGGCAATGGGGAGGGAGGCATGTGTGTCTATCTCTATCTATCTATCTATTTAGATACAAAGAAAATCTTACATCCACTGATTCACTCCCCAAATGGCCAAAACAGCCAGGTCTGGTCATGCCATAGCCGAGTCAGGACCTCCATCTGGTCTCCCATGTGGGTGTCAGGGGCCAAGTAGTTGGGCCATCATCTGCTGCCTTCCCAGATGCATTAGCAGAGAGCTGGATCAGAAGCAACACAGCAGGGACAATCATGTTCCAATATGGAATGTCAGCACTGCCAAGTGGCAGTTTAACCTGCTGTATCACAATGCTGGCCCCTCCATTATTTTTATTATTTTTTTGTTATATGTTGTTATTTGTTTTTTGCATGGTCTGAGATTCAGTCACAGGGATAGTGCAAGTGAAGGTATTGCCTTTTAGGCAAAAAAGAGTTTAAAATGCATCCCCTTTGATAAAAGCAGTTTCAATAGAGAGACAAAGAATTTTTGTTACTCTTGGAATCTGAGTCACAGCCAACACATATCGTTGAAATTCACAGGCAATTTAAACTGTCTGTCTCACCCTGGAGTTCTTTTATGTTTTTAGAAAATGACTCACTGACTTGTAAAAAATGTGAAACACTACTAAGGGGTTGAATTTTATCTTTTTTTCAATGAGTGAGTATTCTAAAATTTAAAAAAACACATGCGCTATGCAGAGTTTTAAACACTGAGAATATTTTCTCATTTTCCCACATGAAAACATAAAGCAAAATGACATTGTCTTATAAGTCTTTTATGTGGTTTCACTTCCCAAGGAAAGGTAATAAAAAGCAATGAGATAATATTTAATTACTGTGCAGGTTTACACTTGTAAAATGACCATTTGCTAGTCATCAGCTAAATGTTTGAAATCCAATTTCCGTATAGTTCAAGCATTTTGTATTGCCAACATAGAGACAAAAACCTAAGTGACAAAAAGCTCTGGGACATGTATACTCTAAAAGACTCCTTTCTTAGAGGAAAAAAGAAATTTTACCAAAATAAAAACGAATAATACATGTGAAATATTTTGGTAAATGATAAAGTTCTGTGCATATAGATATTTCATCATTATTGACTCCAGGTCAAATATTTTAAGAAATTTTTTATTGGAGAGACAGAGATGGCAGAGAAAGACAAAGAAAGAAAGAAAGAGAAAGAGAAAGGGAGAGCTTCTATCTACTGGCTCACTTCCCAAGTGCCTGCCATGTGAGGGGCTTGGCCAGGCCCAAAGCCAGGAGCAGCAACCCAATCACCTGGGCCACTACCACGACCTTCCAGAGTCTGCATTGACAGGGAGCTTGATCAGGGCCTGAACCTGAGAACAGATCCCAGATATTATGAGATACCTGCAGTGGCCAGGGCTGGGAGAGGCTGAAGCTGGGAGCCAGAAACTCAGTCTCATTCTCCTGTGTGGGTAGCAAGGCCCCCAGTCACTGGGGCTATCACCTCCTAGGGTTGCTATGAGCAGGAAGCTGGAATCAGGAGCTGAGGCCAGGTACCCGGGTACCCCAGTATGAGACACAGGCATCTTTAATGGTGTCTTAACCACTAAGCTAAATGCCTACTCCCTCAAAGATTGTTTTTGATTAAAAAAAAAAAAAAACTGAGAAGCACAAAAAGCTAAGCTAGTATTGAAAGCCAAATGATAGAACAGAATTAGAAAATAGAAAACTCACTAGGACAAAATGAAGAAACCAAGTTTTGACATTAATCTTCTTACGTTTAAGTGTACCTTAACAATAATTTACAGAATGAGTAAATGCATTCAGAAATTAAAGAAATGAAAGATTTTTCAATCTGTGCATAATTGGAAAGAGTTTTTTGAGTCCAGTTTAATATCCATAAGGTACGTCCATAATATTTGGTATAGCCATTTCATTTCCAGGAATTTATTTAGAAAATATACTCTTACAAATATGCCAGTTTGTACACATTGGGTATGCTTTGAGATTTGTTTATTTATTTGAAAGGCAGAGTTTCAAAGAGAGAAGGAGAGGATAAAGGGAGAGAGGAAGAGAGGAGGAGAGGGAGAGAGGAGGAGAGAGAGTGAGTTCTTAACACCCACTGGTTCGCTCCCCAAATGTCTAGTACAGCCTGGGCTAGGCCAGGCTGAAGCCAGGAGCCTGCAACTCCATCCAAGTCTCCCATATGGGTGAAAGGAACCCAAGCACTCAAGCCACCTTCACTGCTTTCCTAGATGCAAGAGCAGGGAGCTGGATTGGAAGTGCAACAGCTGGGACATATCCACCTCTCATATGAGATGCCAGTGTTGCAGATAGCAGCTTAACCCGCTGTGCCAGAACACTAGCTTCTGATAAGAAAAACAAGAAATAACTTAATCAGGAGGGCCTTTAAAAACTACAAGATGCATTCACACAGAGGAATAGCATGCAGCCAATAAAACGGAGGTAGCTGATTTGTACTGGTATTAAAGACTGTGTGTGAGTGTTTGTGTGTGAAACACACATACACAGAGGGAGAGAGAGATAATTTATAAAGCATATTTGGAGGAATATATAATGATAGAATACATAACTCTTAGAAACCTTATAGTCTAAGTGGGAATAAGTACTAAAGGAGAAGAAGGGTTTTAGTTCTCACTTTATGCTACTGGCATTTTATATCATGAGGTTTTGCCACTTATCTTACTTTTTAAAAAAATGCTCAATTTTTAAACATCAGTAATGTGAACAATGGATATGTTTGCCTGAAGCAGTAAGAAAGAATCAAGAAAAAAATTAATAAAACAGTAATAGCTTTTTAAAATTAAATTAATTCTACTTAATTTGTGAACAGAATACATTTTCATGACTGTGGTAGAATTAATTGTATCGTATTGTTAAATTATTATATCCTTATGTTTTTGAGATGGGAAGAAAAATCAAGATAGTAACAGCTCTGTCTCCACAGTGTTCCGTAATTAAGCACTGCAAACATCACAACAAAGATTAAATGTAAAACATATATTTAAATTTCTTTTACATTTAAAATTTTATTATTAATTTCTATGGTATGTATTCAAGCCTATAATAATTATTTACTTTAATTTTAAATAATGGGAATTACTCACACATTCACTTGTATATTGTTTTATTACATTTTTTACTGACTAAAAGAAAATATTTTATCCATATTAGGTAATTCTTGGTTAACAACCAGTTATTCAACTCATATGCAAGCATATAGACGTTTTATGGAAGGATTAATCATTTATAGTCTCATGTTCATGACCTAGCCACAGTCATCACCAGCACACATTATGACTTGCACCCCATGTTATTTTGCAAAGCACATCCAGTCAATCAATTAAAAATTAATTAAACTGCAGGCATTTTATGGTGTCTTTGATGGCAGATTTTACAGGAAGAAAGTCATCTCTGATAATTATTTAATTTTTTTTTCAAAGATTTCTTAACGTATCATAGACTTCTGGTAAAAGATAGGGTTCTGGGAACTACTTCATCTTTCCTACAGATAATTAAATCTCCTCTTATGCACATGGCCCTCAGCCTACATCTTAATCTTCCTTAACACTGGAGACACAGCTTGCTCAATAGCTCACAGGCAACTCGGAGCTGCAAAGTATTTGCTCCTAAAGAACCAACATTTATTTAAATGTGATGTGTGATCTCCTGCGTTCTGTAGCTTATGAGGCTCTCCATTTGACTTGGCCTTAATCAACTTAGTAGCTAGTAACTAAATTGCTACAACAGGACACACAAATCCAGAAGGCTGCATTTCTCCTTCAGATTTTATGATGCATGGAGAGTAGGACCTTTTCAAACCATCTACCTGGCTCTTGATTCAATCACCATCACAGAGGTGGGCAGACAGAGAGGACTTCTAAGCAATCCATCCATTCTAAGCACAAAGGGGTTCTAAAGAGGGTGGTCCTTGTCTTCTCAAAACAGAAGAGGATTTCAGAAGCTGGTCCTTTGCCCTTTGCCCTGACCTCACCGAGGGGCAGTGACTGAGGGCGGAGCCCTCACTGATCCCCGCCCTGTGAGTCACTCACCTCTTTCCTCCTGTCCTTGCCCTTCTGTAACAACCACTTGATGGATGCCTGTGGAGACTTGGGGGCACACTCGAGGAACGTGGTGTTATTTTTCACTCCATACTGAACAATTTCAGCCGCATTTCTATATGCTGTAGAGCAAGAAATAAAAGGGAGAGAATAGAAGTTAGAGCACATTCTGTTTCGTGAGTATTGATTGCTCTGTGACTCTGATCAAATAGTGCAGCTGACAGAAGGTGGTGCTACTACTGAACAAGGCAACCGCTTTACATGGTTGCACTGTGCTGTTTAACATAAAGGGATGGGATGGCATTGTGGCATAGCGGGTAAAGACACCATCCATGATGCTGGCATCCCAGGTGGGCACTGGTTCCAGTCCCCACTACTCTACTTCGCATCCAACTCTCTACTTACGGCCTGGGAAGATGGCTCAAGTGCTTGGGCCCCTGCACCTACTTGTGAGACCTGTCTGGAGCTCAGGGTTCCTGGCTGTGGCCTGGCCCAGCCCTGGCCATTGTGGCCATCTGGGAGTGAACCAGCAGATGGAAGATCTTTCTCCTTCATCTGTCTGTCTCTTCCTTTATCTCTCTAACTCTGACATTCAAAATAAATAAATAAATCTTTAAAAAAAAAAAAAAACACAACATAAAGGGGTAGAGAGCAAGATGATTAATTTAAGACCTTCTTATTGATGAAGGGATTCATGTTGATTCATGGGATTCTTTTCTTTCTTCTTTTATTTATTTGACAGGTAGAGTTAGTTACAGACAGTGAGAGAGAGAGAGAGAGAGAGAGAGAGACAGAGAGAAAGGTTCTCCCTCCATTGGTTCACTTCCCAAATGGCCACCACAGCCGGCACTGCGCCCGTCCGAAGCCTGGAGCCAGGTGCTTCGTCCTGGTCTCCCAAGAGGGTGCAGGGGCCCAAGAACCTGGGACATCCTCCACTGCCCTCCCGGGCCACAGTAGAGAGAGGGACTGGAAGAGGAGCAACCGGGACTAGAACTGGCACCCATATGGGATACCGGCACTGCAGGTGGAGTATTAACCAAGTGAGCCATGGCGCCAGCCCCTCATGGGATTCTGTACCAAAGATTGCACTCCATATTATTTTGGGCACCTAATTATTATAATGTACCTGCAAGGTAGCTTCTCAGCTGAGCTAACTGAAGCTGTGAGTTTTTTCTTTTTTAATGATTGATTTATTTTGAAAGTCAGAGTTACAGAGAGAGAGGGAAAGACAGAGAGAGAAATATTCTACCCATTGGTTCACTCCCCAGATGGCTTCAGTGGCCACAGCTGGACCAGTGCAAAGCCAGGAGCTTCACCCAGGTCTCCCATGTTGAGTGACAGGGGCCCAAGCACTTGGGCCATCTTCTGCTGCTTTCCCAGGCCATTAGCAGGAAGCTCGATATGAAGTGGAGCAGCCAGGACATGAATGTTTGCTCATAAGAGATGCAGGAGAGACACAGAGAGAGAGGCTGTGAGCTTTGAGGAAACAGAACGTTAGGAGTTGGTAGGTGCCAGGCAATACCAAAGGCAGGTTTATCCTCAATTCTATACTCAATGTGGTGCAGAGGAAGTTCAGAAACACAAGAAAAGGACAGAGAACACAGCTTGGCTGCAGGAGGATGTAGTCGCTGGGAACACTCTGTGGAATCAGAGGAATCAGGGATGAAATCACAACTTCACCCCAATTGGCTGTGTAGCCTTAGACCAGTGACTGGATCTACTCATGTCTAAAACAGGAGTTACAATTATTTCACACAAGTTCCTTAATAAAAGCATTAAATTAGGTCAAGCATTGGGTATCATCATGTAGTCACTTAGACATGACGAGAATTCTCATTCATAAAGCAGGTACAATAACAGACTCTAACAGATTCATGAGCACTAAGTGAAACAATCATAAAAAGACACTCAGGTTCTGACAAAAATTTGTATCAGTATCTGCTTGCTGTTATCACTAATCTTACCACTCTGACAATTACTACCTTTCATGGGATTTGACACATTTCTGTAAAATACTCAGTTAATAGAGAAACAGTAACTTTGATTTATTCCTTCAGTGAGACTTAAGGAACAATTCCGCAAAATCTGTTTTAAGTTGTTCCTTGCAGTTAGGGTAGTTTGTAATGAGAATAACATCCTTTACCAAAGGAAATCCCAGACTAAAAGAATTATAAAGAGGAGTCTGCGGGTTAATTTTTGAAACAGCACAGCTCTAGCACCCTGGGGAGTCAGGAGGAAGGTCTGCTTGGAGACACTTCCGGTTGGTGGGAGAAGGATAATAACATGGTGTCTCTGTGTCTGGCTGGCAAGGAAGAGGTCAGATGAACTGCAAAACACAAGGCAGGACTGTCTACAGCAACAAGGCGCTGAGTCCATCCGTGTACATTAGCAGTATTATTCAACACAGTAAAAGGTGCAAGCAACCCATGTATCTGGTGATGGATGAATGGATCAGCAAAATGCAGCACTGTGTGCATGCACCATAGAATCTTTTTCAGCCTCCCCCAGGGAGAAAATACTGATATGGTAGGAATGACTCTTGGACACTTATAGGCTAAGCAAAGAAAGCCAGTCACACAAGACCAAATGTTGCATGAGTTCACTATATAAGAGGAAGCTAGAGAAGTCAAGTTCATAAGAAATTTATCCGACAGTAGAGTGGCAGCTGCCCGGGGCTGAAGGGAAGAAGGCATGCTTAGTTAGAATGTAATAGGCATAGGGATTCATTTTGGGAAGATGAAAAATATCTGGGGCTGGCTGGAGGAATTGCTGTGCTACAGCAGACAGAGTGAACTTTGTGCTGCAGAATGGCCAAAGCCCTAAATTGTATTTAACATATTTTTACAGAAATAAAAAGCACTGTTTGATGTGTTCTTCAGTAGTAAATTTTGAAAAATTTCCTTCAGAAAGAAAATAGTAACTAAGAAGATCTGTAATTTAAAAAAAAAAAGTATGAAAAACCTACCAACGAATATTCTGGAAGTAGATGTGTTTACAGACATTTAGGTATCACAATTCTCAGTAAATAACATTTTAATGGCCATATTTGAATACCAGAAATGTCTTTGGTGACTTGCTTTAAAATGAGAGGCTTGGATTTAACACCACATGTCCCTTTACTGATTGGCAGCCTTGCACTGCTTACCAAGACTGATTGTTGCTCAATTTTCATACCTTTTAGATTAAACCCTCTGCACTGGGTCAGTGGATTTCCATGTCTCACGTCTTGTCTTCGACTCCTTCTATAAGTACAGAAATACATGAAAGGGACTTAGAATTATCATTGCTAATTATACCACTTATGAAACATTGCAATTCTAAACTTTAGAATCTGCTGATTGCCTAAGCTCTCATAAAAATTAAAATAGAAGGTCTGATTACTGATGTAGCAATCTGACATTTCCCATTCAATGGCTCAATGCATCCATGAGAGAGTAGATACCTACCTTAGCTCTCAATCCAAATAAATTCAGTCCCTCCCCTCTGCCATTTGTGATGCAATGTCTATAAATATGGTATTTTACAGACTTCCTAGGTAAATGCTAGATTCTATAACTGAGATTGTAAAATTTTAGGATAGAGACACTCATCCAAAATTTTCCAAAACTATGACCTAAATGATAAATTCAGTAGCATTTTCTTTCATATAAGAGCTTTACTTAAATAAACATATTTTTTCTTGCAAAAGCTAACACTTGTTACATACATTAAAACCGGTTTGAAACAAACCAAACAGATATGGACATTAAACTATGAAGTTAAGTAACATTATCCATATCAAAGAAAAAGTGTTTTCCTTCAGATTTTAGTTTGAAAACATTCAAGGGGCCGGCGCTGTGGTGCAGTAGGTTAATCCTCCACCTGTGGTGCTGGATTTTGATATGGGGGACGGTTCTAGTCCCGGCTGCCCTTCTTCCAGTCCAGCTCTCTGCTATGGCCTGGGAAAGCAGTGGAAGATGGCTCGAGTCCTTGGGCCCCTGTACCCATGTGGGAGACCCAGAAGAAACTCCTGACTTGGGATCAGTGCAGCTCCAGCCATTGCAGGCATCTAGGAAGTGAACCAGCAGATGGAAGACTCTGTCTCTTTCTTTCACTGTCTGTAACTCTACCTCTCAAATAAATAAATAAAATCTTTAAAAAAAGGAGAAAACATTCAAGTTTACAGGAAAATGAATACAGGAGTGCAGAAGACACTGGCATACCTAGATTCATGAATTGTTGTGTTTTGCCACATTAATTTTATTCTCTGTCAAGTACAGGTATATACCACATATATACTGCTGTGTGTGTGTATGTGTGTATATATGTATATATATACATGCTAAAGATAATATTTACTTAATAATATCATCTGTACATTCTATATTAAAATTTCCATAGTTGTCCCCCAAATATCTCTTATTGATTTTCTTTGAAAGACTTAAGTATTTCAAAGGCAGAGTGATAGACAGACATCTTCCATCCCCGGTTCACTCCCCATATGAGTGCACATGACCTGATTCATTCACAAAATGGCTGGGACTGGGCCAGGCTGGAGCCAGGAACCTGGAATCTCCCATGTGGGTGACAGGACCCAAGTACTTGCGCCATCATCTCCTGACTCAGCAGCACAGTAGCAGGGAGCTGGATCAGTAGCAGAGCAGGTGGGACTTCAACTGGTGCTCCCATATAGGATGCCTGCATCACAAGCTTCAGCTTAACCTGCTGTGCCACAATGTCCCCGCCCAATGCCTTATTGGTTTTTAAAGTTTATCTTGGATCAAATTCTATCATTCTCTGCAATTAGTTGTTAGACATTATTAGCTTAAGTGTTTCAAACAGTCAAATTCTTTGTAAAATCCTTGTTGTTTATATGAAAGTTTTATTTGGATTCTAATTTTTTAATTTCTTGAGTCTTCGATTCTCTAAATTTTATTATCAATTTTATTATACAGTGTAAAAAATCAAAATAGAGCAAATAAAATCCTCTGAGAGAGACATCCTGGATATGAACATTGCTCTAAGTGACACAGAAGGGACTCTTTAAATATTGGAACTACAGAGCTAAATTCTTTACTGTCATTACTGAAAAAAATATATAAATAAGCAGCTAAATTAAAATATCCAGCAAGAACAAAAATACTAAATTCACATAATGGTTATTAAATGTATACAGCAAAACAATCCCAAATAAAAAACTTAATTTTTAAGTTATAGCCAACAGTTATTACTTTATGTACATAGCTCTTTATATGCATTTATTTACAAAAATACAGGTATAAGATTTTGTTCCATTTAAGTGTTCCTTTTCCAAAAATGCTTCAAGGTCCTTATTCATTTGCATGTTTTTATACAATCCTACACCCAAAACAGTGGAAATTAGTCACTCTTACATAAAATTTTAGTCACTCTTACATAAAAAAATAAAGTAAATACTATATTCTAGAATAGATTCCATGTCAGGCTTTTACTGCATTCCATTTGCTGCATTTGAAGTCATGGCATTATTTACTACTAGCCAAGTTGGGATGATGTTATATGAGCACTCCACCAGAGTTCTTAAGTTGACCTGCTCATTGTCAACCATCTAGATGAGCAATATCATGCACAATGGTTAAATTTATTGTCCTGTGATCAGCGCTATGTAATGGTTTACTCATGTATATAAACTCTCAAGTTGGACAAGCTGAATTTATTGTATCAGCTTCCAGGCATTCAAAAACAGAAACACATTACTAAGGCTTGGCCTAAGAGAGCAAAGCAGCCATCTGAGATTCTGGATGTGTAGATTCCCTCTGTCTGCATCACCAAGGCATGCTGGTAGGCAGAGCCATATCATATTGCATGTAGGGTTGGGGATTTGGTCCAGCTTGTCAATGCTTCATCCATTACAGTCCACTCCCTTGGATAAACAATGAAATCATTTTATTCTTGTATAGAACAGCATTTTACTTGAAAATTGAACTGATTATCTTGTCTTAAAATAAAATTTCTAACCACATGTCTGAATCCAGAATAAATAACATTAGAGACTAAACTGCAATATTTGATACCAGTGCACAAATATTTAAGGTACTTAAGAGTGGAGAGGGAAAAAAATGCTTCCATGGTTTACTATGAGCCATGTTAGAGAGAAAGAATGAGAGAGAGAGAAGAAGGGAGGGAGGGAAGGAGGGAAGGAGGAAGGGAGAGAAAGAGAGAAAGAGGGAAGGGGGGAGGGAGAAGAAAAGAAAAAGAAAATTTCCTGAACCAATGATATTTTTTTTTGACAGGCAGAGTTAGACAGTGAGAGAGAGAGAGACAGAGATAAAGGTCTTCCTTCCGTTGGTTCACCCCCTAAATGGCTGCTACGGCTGGCGCACTGTGGCAATCCGAAGCCAGGGGCCAGGTGCTTCCTCCTGGTCTCCCATGCAGGTGCAGGGCCCGAGCATTTGGGCCATCCTCCACTGCCCTCCCAGGCCACAGCAGAGAACTGGACTGGAAGAGGTGCAACTGGGACAGAATCCGGCGCCTCAACTGGGACTAGAACCCGGGGTGCCAGCACCGCAAGCGGAGGATTAGCCTAGTGAGCCGTGGTGCCGGCCAAACCAATGATATTTAACAACTGTATTCTGTGGAAGAATGGATTCTATTGATTTCTAGGGACAGCATAACTGGACTTCTCTGTTGCTGCAGTTCAAAAAACTTACTTTTGATCTTCAGTCTTATGAGTTTCTCTAATGATGTCTGTGTTTCAGTTAGACAGACAGCGTAATCCGAGGAAAACCAGGTAACTTGTCACCATTAGAGAAAATTAATGTGGAAAATATTCCAAATGATCATTTTCATCTTACTACTGAATTTGAGGATGGGAATTTAGCCAACAGTTAACTCATTCAGAAAATCTATTTTGTTTCCCTATGAGTATATGCTTTACAGTGTTTGGAAATAACTTGGAAAATCTAAGAGCGTAGACACTTTCAGTGTGATATTTTTATGACATTTTCAGGTTCTTCAAGATAGAATTAAGACAAGTTTAGAAATAATCAACATAGCTCTTTAAATGGATACTACTTTCTCAAGCTATCATACATGATTTAAAAGAGACATGTTATTATATCAGTAAAGAAATGCAAAATTATTTCAATTCCTTATTAAAAAAGCATGATTAAAAACATGATTTGTAGTCATGGGTGGGGGCAATGTGGAATCTTAGAAAGGATGACTGGGGCTGTAATAGATTGGTGAATATGTAATCCAAAGAGCCAGCTCATGTTTTTACAGAAACTTAGGAAATGTAAAAAAAAAAAAAAAAAAAAAAAAAAAGTCAAATATGCCTTTTCAACGAGGCCCCGAAATTCAATTCAGGAATCAAAATAACACAGGGACTTCACTACTAACTCCTAAAATGACTTGAAGAAACAGAAACTCTGAACCCTGATATGAAGGGGTCCTGGATTAAAGAGTAGGAGTACTCTTCTGCACATTCCATGCTTTTAAGGATAGAAGATGCAAATGATCCAGCCTAGGCCACGCCTCTCTACTCCAGAGGCACATCTCCAACCACCAACCCAACGCCTTCACTCGAGTATCTCACAGATATCACCAGCTTTCATCTTTCTCCCCGCAACCTGGCTCCTTTGATACTTTTCCCACATCAGGAAATGACATCAACACATATCTTCACACTCTATTTGGAGAACTTGGATTTTCTTTTATTTGAGAGGTAGAAACACATAGAAACACACACACACACATGCACAAACTGAAAGAGAGAGAGACAGAGAGAGAGAGGGAGAGAGAGCACTCCAATCTACTGCTTCACTCCCCAAATGTCCATACTGGTTGAGTCTGGACCAGGCTAATGCTGGGAGACAGAAACTCAAACCACATCTCCCACATGAGTAATTGGGACCTAACTATTTGAGCCTCATGAGCTGTCCCCTAGGGTCTACATTAACAGGAAACTATATTTAGGAGTCCAAGCTACCAGGAATTGAATCCAGGGACTCCAGTGTGAGATACAGTATCTTAACAAGCATCTTACCTGCTTGGATAAAAGCCCATTCCCTTGGACTGTGTTTGATATCTCTATTTCTCTCACCTCCCACAACCAATACATCAGTAGCATAGCGCTCTCCAGGTTAGATCACTTTTTGCCAGCCCTACTTCCATCAACCCTGAGCAATCATTACATCTCACCTGCATATACAGGGGCCTCCCAACTTGCAGTTTCTATCACTCCCCCTCACCCAAACTCTTCATACCCTAGGACTTCAAAGCAAGCTTTAATTTTACATTTTATCCTCCTTCAAATAGTATGCCTGCTGTAAAGTCTCCCAACCACCCACTTAACACTGTGAATCGCTGCTTCCCAAGTGTTTCTCCCACCTTCTGTGTTGTTTTTAAATTCATAAACCTTATCATTACTTGTTATATGAGTACTAGTGGTTTTCTTTATTTACTTATTGCGTATCTTTCTCCATTAGAATTTATTATCCCCAGAGGCAGAGATTCTGTCCTTTGCTGTGGTTTCCCATGATATATGCTGAGTTTCTAGAACAGTGCCTGGGAAATATTTGTCCCATGATAAGTATTTGTTGGACTAATGGATAAAAGAAGCAAGAGAGCAAGGGTTACTGTAATCTGTCAGGGATCTTAAAGAAATGTATCTGCTACAGAGAATAAAAGCTACAAACCATTACCACCCCAGTGCCTGCTTGGTAGGTCATTGGTGCTCATGGCTGATACTATTTGTTCCTCTGTTGACCCTGATTTTTATCAATTTTGGCCTTGTTATCCATAATGATCCATATCACCGTAATACTGAGAAGAGCAATGATCTTGGCTAATTCTGAATTCTGTGTACTTTTGTTCCACAATCAGTTTGTCTACTGGTGGCCCCTTCCCACTTGGTCCAAGTTGCTTCAGAATTGCCTGCATAAGTCTTTGCTTGGAGAAAAGGCACCTGCCTCAGGATGCTTTTCTCTCTCCACCTAACCAGCAAACAGTCACCTCTTTCAGGGCGGTCAAGGTTTTGAAAGCAGATCAGAGTACCCACGTTCGAACAATGTTCCTGTAGCTTGAAGGACTCAGGTGACTGCATTCTAGATAATATCTTTGCTCTGTTATAAGGAAGACAAGCACTTCATTATAAAAGTACTAAGCAATGCAGGGTAACCCTGCAAAGATGAGATTTAACAATATATAACCATGTATATTCAACATTAGGGAGAGTGAAAAAAATTCTGAATGCTGCCCAAAATATTTGGTGAGCTGTGGAGAGATGGGTGCTGCAATGGAGATTTCAAGGGGACAAAGAAATCTTTTCAAAGCCCTGATTTCTATCAGCATCACCTTATCTGTGCAACTCCCAAGTTTTAAAAGCCTGGCCATTTACTTCATTAGTGTTAAATATAGCTACTACTTTAATATCCCTCCGACTTTTTTTTTTTTTTAAGAAGATAGCAACAGTACCAAGCTTCCTGATGTGGAGCACTTTGATACGTCTGGCAGCTGCATGTTTAGTACTCACCGCTTTCCAGTTGGGTAGAACCTGGAGCAGGAATGGCCATCCCAGGCACAGTACGGATCCCTGGCCAGGCAGCAGTCAGCACAGGCTGTGCCATAGATGTGGCAGCGGTGCAGAGACACTTGGGAAATCCCTTCATTGGAGCTCACGTATAACTGTTGCTATGAGAAGCACGATGATGATTTATATCAGATGTGGAAGTTAGAAGAAGACTTTCAGCAGGAACGCATTATAATATAGGCCCACAAACCCTCGCATTCATTTGGAGACAGACTAAAAACGAGCAGCACAGCACAGAAGGGTTTCAAGCCAAAATAAATAGAATTTTCTTATGTTAATACACCTATAACATTACCACTTTCCTGTTACCAAAAAAAAAAAAAAAAATCCCTCGGAGTACCATGTAGAATGGGGATGTATTTTAAACACTGAGAATCATTGTTCTCTCATATTTGAACTAGTACACTACAGATTTAAATTATGATGTTTTCTGTTCTCTTTGAATACTGTCTCTTAGCAAAGCACAGGAAGCTTTCTTATTTTTCAAGTCTGGCAACACATGACTTTATAGATGTCAGGTTTAAAATAAAGAGCATTTTTCAGTTTAGAAGAAAACATGGTAGACTGTAAGTATTAGATGAAATGAACAAACATTTTGGTCATGTGCCTTTGAAAGTGATCTACTACTTATATCATCTTATATCATCTGTTTTAAAATTATTTCAAAGAATGTCAGTATCTATATTGAAATATATCTTGAAATTTCTGCAAAGTCCAGCAGTCTTCATCATCCTCAGTTATCAATAAAGATTTGGGATTGGGATGCAAACATATGATAATCCCACTCCGAATCCTACCCAAAAAGTTCTTGAGGTACTATTCCAATTTCTTTAGCTGTAGGCAAAATAGTTCTCAGGAACTGAAGGTATGAGTCTTTAATTGACACTCCTTATTTCCCAAAGGACTGATATTAAATAATTAAGTTAGCCTAGAATCTCTAAGTTGAGTAGAGTGGATGTGAGGAATGTGCATGGACACTTCTCTTCTTCCCATCTATACCTAAGCATTCAATAATCAAATCTGTGGGGGCACTCCAGCTCTGCAGCTCTGGAGACAGGATTCCTGGGTTCAAATCTCAGCTCAGCCACATATCTGCTGGGTAACTGCTGAATCTCAGCTTTCTTGCTGGCAACCTGGGATAATTCAGCACTTACCCCAAAGTGTTTTGTAAGAAATCAGTTGGAATGGCTACCTCACATAAAACACTTACAAGTGCTTCATAAGTGTTCAATTAATGTTAGTTAATGATAATAATATAGTAAAATCTACATGTTCTCAAATTTAGTCATTCAGATCATATATTATTCTATTAGATTAACATAATTATTTTAACCAAGTCAGGTTTTAGAAACTGTGCAGAATTTGATTCCCAGTTAGACAAAAACAACTGTGTGTTTTGACAATAACCACTGCCCTAGGAACATTTGAAATATGTGTTTATTGAGTAATTAATGAGTAAATGGTGAATATATCAGCTTCATTAAAATATTTTAGGGAAACTAGTTGAGGAAAAGACACAGGTGTTTCATTCTAGATAAGATCTTTAATTTAGCCAACTATTTTCTGTTATATGGAATGCAAGAATAAATAAAAAACAAAATCATAAAATGAACAATAAAATATATAAGCACTAAGAAAAGGACTAACTCCGTGGTACTTAAAGATGTACAACACGTCCTTAGCAAACTGTAGCCCTCTCACACTGAAAAAACAATTCAATATGCAGTTGTGCAAATGAATTCCAAAAAGTCAAATAAATACTTTGCTAATTTTTAAGGAAACATTTTAAAATATATACCATATGAGATGTTGAAAACAGATATATGAACTATAAGCAAGCTGAAACTCGTAATTTTATAGAAGACTTCTATGCCACGCCCATGGCTTTGTAACATCTAAGGAAAAGTAATTATTTCAATCAAATGGATCCATTTGGAATTTCAATCTGCTACTTTCTCTTTCCACTAAGCTACCTTAAACAAAGGGCTTCCCTGCTGACTTCAAACACAGCTCTGTCTTGGGATCAGCTCACTGGAACATTAGGCAAAATGACGAATGGCTTCTTTTTACTTGGGAAAAAGTTTGATATGCACCATCCAAACATTTTTACAGATGAGATCTTTAGCTTATTGTACCTTATTTATCTTTCCTCATAAAATTTGGTCAAGTGGAAAGAGCACAAGTCTGACTATGGAATACCACTTCATCTGTAACAACCCAAATATGGTGAAGAGCACTATGTAATCAGTTGTGCTAACACATGAAACCTTTATTCCACAGTCCAAGAAAAATATGTCTCAGGCTCTTACAGATAGCATTTGTCAAGGATCCACTTTATGTTAGGCAATTCATATAAATCAGGTCTTTTGGGAAAAAAGGCATTACTTTGCAGATGTTAGAACTTAGGTCAATAATGTTCAATGATTTGTTCATAATTTATGATCAGGTTGGGATGCAAACACATGATAATCCCACTCTGAACCCTACCCTATTTTGCCCATATTACTTCACCTTTTAGAAATTTTGTTTTAAGATAACACCTTAGGGGGCTGGAGAGATGCATGTCTTGCACATGTAGATATTGGCATTGGGTTTTTGCTTTCCATGTGCATGTACAAATGAGAAGATTCATTAGATTTCTCATCATCAAAGTCAAGCACCTTTTCTTAAAAAAAATTTTTTTAATGACATGTACACACACTAGAAAATAGCATTTCCTTACATATAAACGTGAAAGAATGCTTTGCACACTTCAGATATTTGACCTCAGTAGGAACTTAGAGAGGATCCATTATTCACAATGGGCCTCTGAGAATTTTGTGATGTTATAGTCACCCAAACACTGTCCTAAATTCTTCCTTCAGAAAGATTACTTTTATTTTGGTTGGCTTCACACACTATAATATTGGAGAATACAGAGTATACAAATATTGGAATATCTTGCTATATATATGTTCTGGTCTGGCAAACTTTAATACAAAAATAAACCAACTCAATATTTCACTATTAACTAGTAGGTTCTTTGTCAAAATTTAAGAAAATGTTGTGGCAGTAATACTTTTAATAGTGTTAATTACTTTGCTAATGGTAAAACTAGTTTTTAAAAAGTTATATATATATTTCATGGTAGCAAAAATTTTCATATACAAAGAACAGAAAAATGGCTTAGTATTTACCTTTTTGGATGAAATTTTCATTGTTGTTATGGGGACACGATTCTAAAAAAATTAGAAAACAACATATTAATTGCTCAAATGATTCATATTTTAAAAATGTTCTTTTCTATTAAAACTCAAGAAATCATCTTTTTTTTTTCCTGTATGAGAGAAAATAAAAAAGAGTGTGTATATACTTTTAAAGTATGTGTTCATATAATTATCTGTAAAATATATTTTCTTTTTGGGGACTAAGGATATGTTTTATTAAATTTAGTAAAATTTAATAAAAAGTTGATTATAACACATCTATCAATACAGGCAGTTGGAAAAATTAAAATTTGAGAAATATGAGATAAATGATGAACCATCTTAGAAAGCTGAATTTAGGATTTGATGTAGTGCTCAGGCTTGGGGAGTTTGTGGGGGGATCCCCATCAGACTCTTCACTCACGAGCATTTTGCATAAGACTCCATTGTGCACCTGTCAAGTGTTGTTTTGGAAAGACGCATTAGGCTGAACCACACTAATTAATTCTCATTGTCACAGACAAAGAAATACTGTTAGAAAAGTTCCTCTTTTGATAAATGTGAATGTGTGAAAGAGCCAGGGAACTTCCTGAAACAGTAATCCTTTGAAAGTCACTCTATTCATTACTTCTTAAACATTCTTGGTTTTTTCTAATGATTAAAATAGACTTCTGATAACTGAATGTAGATCCCTGAAATATTATGTGAAAATCTCAAGTGGAAGCAAGCTCTGAAAATCAAATGCACCCCACATCATTTTGCTTTCTAAAGTTGCCAGCACTTACAAACACTTAGAAAGAAAAAATAATGATAATCTCTTTAACTTTCAATCACAAGAAGGTTTTGATCATTCCTTATACACACAGACATACACACATGCACGTGTCAGAATTTATAATAACCTAGGCAATAGTCATAGCTCCAATTCAAGCTTAAGCAAATAGGCTTATTTTCAGGAAATATGATGAGAAGACTCAAAGAGACCTGGTTCTCCACTGAATGACAACAGAGTCTTGATCTCAAGTGACTTTGGGTTTTCTGTAGTGTAACAGGGTGACACTCAGCTAAGGACTTCTGAAGACTTAAATGCATTATTTCCTCCTGTGCCCATCACAACATCTCATACACACTCCATTATTTTTACCTCACTTCAGAAAATGTGACACAAACACCACGCTCAAGACAGTTACTGTCTTGATCTGGCCACATCCATCACTGGCACACACATCAGTAAGAGAGCTCCAACATTTTTCAGACTTGCTTGGACTGATGTCCTCCATAGGAATCTTGACTGACTTATTTCCCCAGTGAGAGTTTATTCCTCATGATGATAACGCCAGTAAAACTCTCAGAGCAGACCATATGTAGTTGGCACATAATCGGAATAACGTACAGCTCTTTAAGACCTCTCCATAACAAGTATGTTTGGGTTTGTGTCAGACTCACCTAATTAACGTATACTGATAATCCAAAAAAAAAAAAAGATATTTCAATACTAAAAATGAAGTGTTGCAATATGACACTTTTGCTGTAGTCAAGAAAATGCCAGAATAAGGCAATTCACATAATTTTGGCCAGCCGAGTGTCCTGACTAAATTGAATTGAGAAAAAAAAATATTTTACATATAATGCAATTTTGGTTAATCTAGTGAAACAATTCTTTACCAAATAAGACATGGAAAGAACACTTGAATGGACATAGTTGACATTATTTTTAAGAGCATAAATTTCATGTCCTAATCACAAAGAAATTTATGGCTGGCATTAAAACCTGAAAACTTAATAACTTGTTGGGAAATCTGCCAGAGTTCCTCAGATTTTTTCTATTTGAGTTCATTTTTTAAATATTTCTTTTTACGTAGATTTGTGAGCAAAATCAAACAGCCTTATATCACAACTTCTATGCTTATGAAGTCAAACTTTTCTGGTGATCACGGGAATACATTAATGAGCCAATACATTGTGAGTCCACCCAACTGAGCAAAGCCAAGTGCTGGGTGTGCTCTAGAGCTTTCTGAAGTGCCGCTTTTAAGCAGTCCCAGGCTAACACTGGACTTTAATTGTCTCTGGGACACACAGCAGTCTGCAGCAGGACTGCTTCTACGCTAGGGTTTCTTCTACATCTATAGTTCCTCTGGCTGTGGCTTACCCACCTTTCAAAATGCAGATGAAACAGAGAAGTCTTATCTCTAGGGATGGGCTGTGCAGGGGAGCGGGTCATGGCAGGACCCCGCAAATGGTCTCTGTTGGCTATCAGCTTCACAAAAAGTAGGCACTCTGCCCAGACCACGTGGCATCTGACAGGACTGAACTTCCCTGTGTGTCTAATTTTTTTGCTCTGCTTTGTTTTTTCATTATTTTTTTAAATCTCAAATTCAAGGAAGAGGAGAATAATACAATGAAATCTCATGTTCTATCAGTAGTAGTACAAAGATGTTTGTTGTATTTAAGCAGAGTGACATTTGAATTAAAAGCAATAAAACAAGAGAAAACAAAGCAATTTTGCTTGAAATTACTGCCTACAAAAATATAAGAAATCTTATCTTGCACAATAAATACTGTGAAGCCATCTGGGTTTCAGTGGCTGGTGAAGGAAATGATAAAAAATCCTTTCATGCCCAAATCTTCCAGACTTTGACCACAAGAGCTCATTTTTAAAAAATAATGATGGCCCAAATTCTTCATGTTATGATGATAGCTGAAAATAAAACAAAGCTAATCCTTTTATGTGGAGATAATTTGAAGTGTAAGAAAACACTTCACAGAAATATTTGTTCTATATTTCTTATTTTATCTGGTGGTTTCCTACCCTCAAACATTTATAACATTCATTTATTTGATCTTTTATCCAAAAATTTTCCTCTTGAGTAGCTGTCAGATTAAAGAATTGCATTCATCACGCAAGTTCTGAGATTAATGGAAAAGATCTTCAAACCTTAAAGACTTCCAGCTCCTCCAGAATGAGCTCTCCGTTGGCGGAACTGTTGGTGGGAAGGACCACCACCTTCTGCACAGTCCCTCGGTCTAAATTAAAGAAAGAAACAATGAGATATTAACATAGCTTCCTAAAGAAAATGCATTTAGAGGTGAGACTTCAGTGGTTTAAAACTTGGATTCCTATTTATATGCATATTTATTCATGAAAAAGATATTATATATACATATAAAACTGTATATACAGAGATTATTACCATTTGTAAGACAGTGAATTTATTCCAAACCTGATACATTTACAGAGATTTCATGTAATTCAAAGGGAACTAATATGAACGTGTTGTATACAAGCATAATTATGAGAGAAGGAAAGAATGAACAGATGTCCTAAATCTAAAGTTCTGAACCAACTGTGTATTCTGGAAACATAATCCATAACCGAGTTTAGCCTTAGTCCTCCAAACCAACATTGTAAAATGACATCCCTATCATTTTGGTAACATGGATGAACCAAGATTTCCTTATCTGAAGAAAAAACTAGTGTGAAGGGATTTTTATAATAATGAAAATTCACTAGTTCTGGAAAATGGACATTTGCTATGAAGCTAGCAAAGAGTTGAGAAAGATTAAAATGGCGCACTTGCATTTCAAAATAGTTTTCAAAAGAGAAACATAACTGTGGTTTTATTTCAGGCGTGGACACCTGGCCATAGAAAAATTCTGTTGTTTTCTTTTGTTTGTTTTTTTGTTTGTTTGTTTTTTGGTTTTTTGACAGGCAGAGTGGACAGTGAGAGAGAGAGACAGAGAGAAGTCTTCCTTTGCTGTTGATTCACCCTCCAATGGCCGCCGCGGCCGGAGCGCTGCGGCCGGCGCGCCGCGCTGATCCGATGGCAGGAGCCAGGTGCTTCTCCTGGTCTCCCATGGGGTGCAGGGCCCAAGCACTTGGGCCATCCTCCACTGCACTCCCTGGCCACAGCAGAGAGCTGGCCTGGAAGAGGGGCAACTGGGACAGAATCCAGCGCCCCAACCAGGACTAGAACCTGGTGTGCCGGTGCTGCAAGGCGGAGGATTCGCCTAGTGAGCCACGGCGCCGGCTCTGTTGTTTTCACAATTGCATTTCTCATGTGGAAATATATTTCTCGCGATATTCCTAAACTTTAGGAAAAATTCTAAAAGTAGATGGGCCAAATAAACTAAAACAACTAAAATGTATGCATATTTTCTAATTTGAGATTTATCAAAAAGATTCATCCAAGTAAGTGTAAAATCAAGTAAAAACTTATATAACTGCAAAATATATTTCCATTGAATTGATGATCTGTATCATAAATATCAAGCTATTTGATGTTGCTCTTGTAAGTTGTCACTGAATGTAAAAATATGCATGTCATCAACAGTTAAAGCAGCATTCTACTGCTCTGTTGAGAAATGCCCAGAACAGTTAACTTGAACTGAATTGCACAGGACTCTGTAATTTAGAATCACTTAGTGATTAATTCCACAAATCTGAAATCACATCTCAAGTTGTCTTGTATTCCACAGGCAAGAGCTAGTCTGTTATAAAGAACCCATTTTATATTTACAATTTTTATTTTATGAACTCAATTCTGAATAGAATTCTTTATTAAAAAAGCTATTTTTTTTATTAAAGAGATAATGGCAGAAAGAAAGTGAACAAGTGCTCCCATCCACTGGGTGCCTTACCAATTACCTTACCATTACAATTACCTTACCATTACCTAGCAATGGCCTGAGCAGGCCAGGGGCTTGAAGCTGGGAGCCATGGAATTCATGTCCCCCACACAGGTGACAGGAACTCAATTCCTTGAGTCATCACTGCTGTCCCCAGTGTTTGTATTAGCAGGAAACTAGAATCAGCATGGGGAGCTGGGAATTGAATCCAGGTGCTCTGATGGGCATCTTAATCACTGTCTTAACCATCAGACCAAACACTCATCTTTAATATAATTCTTCATTTAAAAGGGAGGGCAGGCATTTTGCAAAATGGTTAAGATGCTGTTTGGGATGCCTGCATCTCAAAATCAGAGTGCCTAAGTTCAAGTCCTGCCTCTGCTCCCAAGTCCAGCTTCCTGCCAATGTACACCCTGAAAAACAGCAGTTGATGGTTCAAGTGGTTGTGTTTCTGCCACCCATGTGGGAGACACAAACCAAGAGCCAACTGTTGTCTTCTGTCTGGTCCAGACCCAGCCTTTCTGGGCACATAGGGGTGAAACAGCACATGGGAGGTCCCTCTCTGTCTCCTTGTCCCTCAGATAAATAAATGAATACAAATTTCTAAAAACAACAAACTCAACTTTAAAATGTTATGAATTGAAATATAAAAACCTGCCAAATTTAAAAAACAAGGCTTACAACAGAAACACAAAGTGTGGAGAGTTTGCCAGAACCATGCCTGAAATTTATGATGATTCAAAGTTTGAGCACAGGATCCTGGAGGTTTCAAAGTAGGCTCTGATTTTAAATTCCCTTAAATCATACCCCAAACATGAACAAACTCAAACACACACACACACACACACACGTTTTACTTATCAGTTAAAACTGCATAAAGAGAAGTGAACATTTAGTCTAGCTGTTAAGACACTGGTTAGGACACCAGTATTCCATATCTGAGTGCCAGGGTTCCATGCCTAACTCTGGCTCCTTACTCCTGCTGCTTGCTAATACAGACTGTAGGAGGCAGGGGTGATGGCTCAAGTAATTGAGTTGCTGCCACCCAGGTGTGAGATCTGGATTCAGTTCCTAGCTCCCAGCCCAATCCTGGCTGTTGCAGGTATTTGGGAGAAACACAACCGTAGATGAATGCTGTTATGTCCCTCAAATGAATAAATATTTTTTAAAAAAGAATGAAAAAGTATGGAAAAAATTAAGTACCCTCAAATGAAACAAGTGGCTCATTTTTTAGCATACCTTACCATTTGATCAAAATTGTACAGAATTCATCATTTTCTTCTGAAAAGGCATGCAATATATTTCATTCATGCTACTTATAAAATATTACAGAATAGAGCCGGCGCCGTGGCTCAATAGGCTAATCCTCCACCTTGCGGCGCCGGCACACCGGGTTCTAGTCCCGGTTGGGGCGCCGGATTCTGTCCCGGTTGCCCCTCTTCCAGGCCAGCTCTCTGCTATGGCCAGGGAGTGCAGTGGAGGATGGCCCAGGTGCTTGGGCCCTGCACCCCATGGGAGACCAGGAAAAGCACCTGGCTCCTGGCTCCTGCCATCGGATCAGCGCGGTGCGCCGGCTGCAGCGGCGGCCATTGGAGGGTGATCCAACGGCAAAGGAAGACCTTTCTCTCTCTGTCTCTCTCACTGTCCACTCTGCCTGTCAAAAAAAAAAAAAATATTACAGAATAAAGAGCTATAAAATGAATTAACATAAAGATAATATAAACTGGCTCTTGGCTTATTTGCAATGAAAAGCTAAAACACTACTTTTATTGTTACCTTCTTTCTTATTTTGGTCATTTTCTATTTTGTGGGTAACATATTCCCTACACGAAATGCTTGGAAAAAAACCGTTGAGCTCCTTCATTGACTCCTAAGAGAATAAGCTGACTTGAGTTGTCTTCTATTCGTTTTGACTCAGTGATTCAACAAGAAATTATCGCGTGCCTTCCTTGAGTTAGTGCGGAGATAAACGAGCATGGGACTCACAAGTTCACAGTCTAGGATTTATGGTTTTTTGGGTAGTAAGTGTGTTCCCATTAAAATGCTTGTCGTTGAGAGATATGCATTCCACAACAGCCATAAAACTCCCAATTACTTACATCGACATAAAGCCATCTCTATGCCCTTTTGTTTGAAGATGATAATATACCCATCAAACGTCTTCCTTTTGAGGGTGGTGAGAATGGTATTTCTTGAGTGTACTCACAACTATAAACCCTTTTTATTGTTCTGAGAATTGGGATATTGCCTTTATATCCTTGGCCTAAGCTGCAGTTACAGGGATGTCTTTTTTTTTTTTTTTTAAATCTAACTTTGTGTATGTGAAATGTAAATAATAACCACTTCTTCTATAACTGACATCTATGATGCAAGCCTGGAATCACTTCCCCTTGTTTGGGTAATATCAGGCTGAGACACCTTTCAGGAACCATCCCTGTCTCATTTGCAGTCTTCATGGTTGAGGGAAGAAAGGCTGCAGCTCCAGAGAGCTGCACACGACTGAGGCCTGCCCAGCAAGAAAGAGCTTTGCCTCCGAGATTCTTGTTGGAGGAAGTCCCGGAAACATGTCAGGCTCAGTCCTGGCTGGAAGTTAGGTGAGGAGGAGTCTTTCTGAGGCCAGGGATGGCAAAATCTCATAAACATGGAGTGCTGGACCCATCCTTGCTACCACCTGCAGTGACTCAGAAAATAAACAACGTAGAGGAAAGTAGACCTGAGAGATGGTGAGATAAGCTCCTGGAATCATTTGAACACCAACTGAGCTATGTATCAGGCTGCCCTCTGGATTTCCCAATTAAAAAAGGGAGGGAAAAAGGTTCGTTGCTATTTGAATAAGAAGAGTGGCCACTTTCAGGTGAAAGGGTTCTAATAAAAACTAAAGGAAGAATGCACGCAACTGCTTAGCGTGACAGTCAGCACATGCTATGCCTTCATGAAGTAGAGGCACTTTTTAGTTCTAGCTCTACCACTTCCTAAACTCTTGACATCATTGGAGCAACTTTCCTCACGAAACCTAAATTTCTTCATCTATAAGCTACAGATAACAGAATCATCCAAATGCTGTTGTATGAATAAGCAAGGCAAATCTTAGATGGGAGCTGCATAAATGCAATCCTATACATACAGATTATACAGACTTATCAACACACATTAATGATGCCAGTTTTATTTTAATGCATTAAACCTTTAATAAAAATTCCCAGAACATGCCTTCTTCCAGCCTTATTTACTTGGTACTATCTACTTTTTGTTTTGCAATACAGGCAAAAATAAGCAATTTTATCCTTAAAATTTCCTCTGTGTCAAGAAATCAGCTTGCACTTACAGAATTAATGATTGTTAGCTGTCTTAAACCATGATCAGATACATCTCATTACTCAGCAGGTTATTTGAATACT